ATCTTCCAAAACCATGTTCACGTAGTCGTCGAAGCTCTTCAGGGTTCCCACCAGCTCTTGGTCGCCCTTCATGATGACCCACAGGCGAGACCCGATGCATTTGTCCACAAGCTCAAGCGGCAGCAAACGCCCTGCCATCTTGACCACACCAGCGAAATTTGCCCGGCACTTTTGACTGTTTCAAGCGTGTCGAAAATGTACAGGGAAAGAGGTGTTGGGGTTCACAGGTTCTTCCACCCAAGTATTATTTCGGGTGGCGGGAGTCCTCTGTTGTCGCCAAGGAAGGATACATCATAATGATGCTGACGAGCCGTAGCCGTATTGCTGAAAGCGCCGTCGAAAGCATGATAATGACCACTCGTTCCCTTCGCACAGCGCTTCACTCATACATTTCGTTGTCTTCTGTTGCAACATACGTGGACACGAATACCTTGATTGTGTCCGATTAATACAAAGGAGCAATTCGTACTGGCTTTGGTCGCCTTCGCCCCCCTCCGTCCTTGCTTCAAGGAGAGGAGCCTACTGAAACCCGTTGCCCCCGGATTTTCATATCGCGTGCAAGATTTTCAATCCTCATGCGTTTTTTCTCAGGGTGAGGGGTTAAAAGTGTGAATACAATTCGCGTGATAAACGTTGCAGCATACGTTGAGTGGCGCGACGTTTGCTTCAGGCGGCATTATCATCCTCATCTGAGTAGTGAACACCCAGCACCACAATCTCTCTTCCACACGTTTCTCCTCTCTCTGTACAGCGGCATTGCTGCACGGGCAGCACGCCCTTCGACGCAGTCTGCCAGTAAAAAGGAATCTTCTGCGTGTGATTTGACAGATCGAGATCAAAAGATAGGACCCCCGCGGCCAGACGCAGCAAGCAAAGTGCGGCTTGTCAGATTGAAGCGCGTGGGGCCAGCAAGGGTGGTGTGAAAAGGCAAACACGACTTTCCCTCATAAAATGACTGAAGATGCGGACTCTCAAGAGACAACATTTGGCTTGCATGAATTCTGGAGCTCGTTGGACGAGCAACAAAAGCAGACTCTCTTGGCTTTGCGCAAGGTAAGGGGATACGTGGCGTACCACAAGCGGAAGTTAAAATTGCGGGAGCCATAACGTGGCGATTTGTGTTCAAGCACCTGTTGCTCTCGTTTTTGTTCGAGTCAAGCACGCTTATTATAGTAACATGTCTTGGGTTTTCCTCCTTTCCTCCCCTTGTTTTCCTTTTTCCGCGTGCGCTCTCCCGTCTCACCATCTCCTCGTCGATCACGCGCCCCGCCGTAATTAGGACACGATATGTAGCGCCATCGAGTGTGCCACTTGCCGGGACCTTTTGGCCGCCTCTTTGAAAGATATTGAGAAAGCGCAGCAGTATGCGACTGCTTATGCACAGAAGCACGAAGAGGCCGAGGGCCTGGACGATTATGACTTGGGCGGGAGCCTAGGAAGCAGCACGGGAAGCGCCAGCACAACGGGCACGAGCGCGGGAAAGCGGGGGGGGGGTGCAAGCAAGAAAGGGAATGGCATCGGCGGACCTCTCCACCCGCCATCCTCCCAGAAGGGGGCCCTCAGCCCCGCCCTTTTTCGGTCCGCTGGAGGTGTCTTCCTCCCGGGCAAGTGGAGCCAGGCAACGCTCTCTCAGTGGGCGATGGGTCTGCACGCGCCCTCATTTCCAGGCCCGGCCCATCTACCTTCCTTCTCCAGCGCTTCCTCCCGGCCGGCGATCGAGGCGCCGCGTCCTCCCTCCCCCTCAGCGTCCGCTTCCCCCCCCGCCCGAGGACAGTCCCGTGGGCTTCACCTCCTTCCAGAACGGAAGCTTTGATCTTCTCCCCAGCCAGGCCCTGGAGGCTTTGCTCCTGGACGAGGAAAGGGGGGAGAGGGTGGGGGGGAGAAAGAGAAAGCGGGCTCGGAAAGCCCCTCGGGACGCGCCCGCCGTCGCCCGCGGAGTGCGGGGGATGGGGTGGGGAGGGAGGGGGAGAAGGAGGACCTTCCCTGCCCCTTCTGCGCGGACAAGGTCTTTGTCCGCTTCGTGGACATGCTCACCTACCCCCGCCCGGTACGCAAATTCAGCATGCTTCTGCCCAAGAGGATGAGGATTGGGGCTCTGCGGGAGATGTTGTGGCGCGAAGTGGGCCTGGAGAAGGAGGCGCTCCTTGAGGTCCGAATACGGAATCGGCGATTGACGGCGGGGCAGGGGGATGCGGGGGGAGGGGAGGAAGACACGCTGGAGGCTGTGGGGGTCCGAGACGGGGTGCAGGTGGTGGTGAGTAAGGTGCTGGGGGGGGACGGGGAGGAGGGGGACAAGGCGGGCGTGAACGCCAAGAACAAGCAGTTTGTGGGGGATCTGCTGTTTGGGCAAACCGGCAAAGGGGAGGGGAACGAGGGGGCGGAGGAAGAGCGAGGGGAAGGAGGGGGGGGGGCGGAGGTACGTCGACGGGCGCAGGCGGCAGTGCCAGTGCCAGTCGCGCCCGGAGCACGGTGAAAGGGAAGGGAGGCAGGGGGCCGGGGAAGAAGGCGACGGCGAAAGAGAAAGCGGCGGCCGCGGAACGGGAGAAGGAGCAAGCCTTGCGGGAGAAGCGGGAGCGGGAGGAAGAGGGACAGCCCTTGAGTGTGATCGAGGCCTTTCGGATCAGTGGGGGCTACCAGGTCTTGGGGCAGACGATGGAGCGGCTGGTCCGGGAGAGGGTGCGGGCAAGGTGGCTGGGGGAGGTCAAGGCCCGCCAGCACGAGAGGGACCTGCTCGCCGCCCTGGAGGCGGAGGAGATGGGCGCGGAGGGGGAGTCTGGGAAGCGACGGGGCAAGAAGAACAAGAAGAAGGAGAAGGAGAGGAAGAAGAAGCAGGAGGAGGCGGCGAAGAAGCGGGAAGCGGCCTTGGAGAAGGAGAGGGAAGCCGCAGCTAGGCAGAAGGCGCTGCAAGAGAAGGTGGAAGCAGACCGACGCGCACGTTTAGAACAGCAACGGCGGGAGGCGGAGGAGGAGAAGAAGAAACTGGAAGCGGCCCTGGAAGTGCGGCGCCTGGAGGAGGAGGCCAAGCGTCGGCGGGCGCTGGAGGAGGAGAGGGAGCGCCAGCAACGCGGGTCCGACGAGCGGCAGCGACTTCGCCATCAGCCACCACAGTCATTACCCAAGCAGGCGCCACAGCCGCAACGGCAACAGGGATGCAAACCGGTGCCCCACCAGCAGCTCCGCCATCCTTCAAGTCAGCCACCACGGCCCCTGTCCTCCACATCCTTGGCCGCGGGGAAACAGTCGCCGCAGCAGCATCCCTCTGGCTTCGGGGGGGCAGTCAGTCGCAGCAAGAAGCCTCTCCCGGGACCCCACCCGCACGCCCAAGCTGCAGGCGCCAGGCAGGGAGTTTCCCCGGCCCCCGCCCACAGGGGACCGCCCCGCTCCCCCCCCACCACCTCCATGCGCCACGCCGGGCCTCACTCCCACCGACCAGCCGGGTCCCACCAGGGAATGCCCACCTACCCCAACCACCAAACAAAACACGCCCAGCCCCCGCAGCTCCCCTATCGTCAGGCGCCTGGAGGCATCCCTTCCTCCCGTCCTGCAAACAGCCCCGCTGCCGCCTACGCCCACACTGGCCCCCCGTCTCCCCACCTGCCTTATCAGAGCGCCGTCGTCTCGCCCTCCTCCCCCTCCAAACCCCTTGCGGGTGGCGCGAGCAAGCCCCCCTCTCCTCCTGGCATTTCTCTCACGCCGGGGGTCTCAGCCCCGGCGGGTGGACCCTCTCCGCTCCGCCCCCCCCACCATCGGGCGACCGCCTCCCTCGGCTCCCCCAGCACCTTAAGCCCCCGCCAGGCCAGCCTCCCCTTCGATCTTCCCCACCCGGCCCCTCCACTCGCGGGCGCCAAGCTACGGGCTTTGGGGCCAGCCGAGGGTGGGGGGATGCCCGCCTCTCCCGACACGGTCACGTTGACGCCGCGCTTTTGCAGCCAGTGCGGCTCTCAGCTCCAGGGACATGCTCCCAAATTCTGCAGCCAATGCGGGGCGGGCGTAGGCCGCTCGGTCGGGACCGCTCAGGACGGCGCCGCCACCGCCTTATCCGCTGTCTCCTCCCCTTCCTCCCCTCTCCCTGCCCCTTTCCAGTGGGACACGCTGCCCTCGCATCCAGTGACGGGCGGGCGTGGCGCCCTTCCCCCGCCCTCGAGGGGAGGGGAAGCAGGCAAGTCCTCCAGCCTTCCTCGCTCCGCCCCCAGCACTCCACGACAGTACGCGTCTGCGCTCCCTCCGCCCGACCACCCCCCTTCCTACATGCATCTGGTCCGTCCTGCCTCAGGACCCATGTCTCCCCAGCAAGAACAGGCACGCGCCCCCCCGCCCTGCAGGACGGAAGGGGGCAGCGCGGTGGGCGGGAGGGAGGCGTGGAGGACTCGGATGGGAGGGGAGAGGAGACAGGGAGGGTAGGTGGCGGAGAAGGAGAAGAAGGGGGAGCGAGAGGGTTGTACGAGGAGAAATCAGGTTCCTTGGGCACATTGTCGCCCGTGCGAGAAGGGGCCAGGGGGGAAGTCTCTGCGGCAGGATCACCGGCGTCGCTGTCCTCTCCCAGTGCTACGGGCAAAATCAGGGGGCAAGCCAAATTGCCAGGGCCCGCGAGACCGGTAGTAGAGGACAGAAACGGCGAAATTTCGAGTGGACTGCCTTTCTTCCAGCGGCTTCGGATTGGGTAACGGTGCTAATGGCAAAGCTTGGCACACGACCTGTGGGGTTCTTTGATTTTCCGCCCTTTCATCTCACGGGCTCCGTCTTCCCACCAAGCTCAAAGTCAGGCTCGCGCGCGGCCTGATGGGGGAGCGATTGATCCATGATTTGCTTATGTGCATGAAAAATGGCTGCTTTCGAGCGACACAGGAAAGTAAAATCCTTTCCTTGGTACAGAAAGAGAAATAGATAGATAACAAAAGCAAATTGCCCGCGTGGTGTCGTATGCCGAGCGCATATGCCGCTTTTATTCTTCCTCTTTCTCGTTGGGAGTTACCTTGTACATGTGTCCGATTTTCCCCCGTTGTGTCCCAAGTACCTCAAATTTACAGCTATGTATAAGATTTCAGATCTTTTATCTGCACTCCGCCTGACTCCTCTTCTCCGCCGCCTATTTCCAAGGACGCCATCCCCCACGGTGTCCGCAAGCCCTCCAGTGTCGCGAACAGCCCTCCCCTTGCTCCTTGACCTCCGTCTTGGATAGCCCGCTCGAGGCCTTTGAAGGCTTTTGTCTCCTCCACCGGCGCGAGAAAAGGGGGATTGTAGGCAAAGACACCACGCAGTATCACTTCCCCGAAGCTCCCACCATTGTCAGCCGCGAAGCGCGTGAAGCCCCTTGTGGTCTTGAAAGCGCTTTGCGTCATCTCCGTCACTTCATGTGCCTGGCCAAAAGGACCGTCCTGGGTGGCAGCAGCCATCGAGCGCAACACCTCCAATGCCTCGTCCCAGTCTCCCTCGTCATTGTAGGCAAGGGCCTCCACAGCCAGCGCAGCCCAAGCGTCGAAGGCGCCTGTTATCCCGTGGTCGGGCCGGAGGATGGAGCGAGGTCGGGGGACCTTCAGGTTGAGCTCGTCGTACAGGCTGAGCGCCCGCGTCCAGGACGGGGTGCGAAGCTCGTCGTGGAAGAAAAGTGACATGGCGCCTGCAATGGCAGGGGGGAAAAGGGGGGTACTGTTCCCTGCCAAGCCATACGCCTTGTCGATGGCCGCACATGCCTTGGACGCAAGTGCGAGGCCCCGGGACACGTAAACGAAGTCGACGATGTGCCGGACAGGCACGAGCGAGTACTCCTTGTCGGGGTACAGGCATCCCCACGTCCCAGCCCCCCCGGGCATGTAGAGGTGCTCCACAGTCTCTCTCGCCAACCGCCGGGCCATCTTTGCCAATCTCACCGCGCCTGAGCGATTGCCCTCCGCGGACCGCAGCGTAGCGAGGGAGGCCGTTATTTCGACGTTGGCAGCTTGGAGCGCCGGGACCACATGGATGTAGGTAGGGACGCATTCCAGGAAGTTTTCTGGGCGCGGGCCGTAGTCTGCGATATAAAAATATCCATCATCGTCCTCGTCGTCTTCTGGAGCTCTTTCCCCCCTGGAGACCCCGTCCTCGTCTACAGTGCCCACCGCTCCCTCCAACCCCCCTACACCTTTTGGAGGCGGCGACTCTGCAAATTCCTCGCTCCCACTCGTTCTAGTGTTGCAACTGCGCCTCCTGTCCCCCGGCCAGTGCCATGACATTATCTCTCGGTCCTCAACAGCTTCCGCGTCGCTGCCACTCATCGTCCTGAGCCCGCCACCAGGCATCGGCCCAGCACGCCCCGCCTCTGATTCCCTCCCTTTGCTTCCGGGTTTGGGCACGCGTCGACGCCTCCAATCCAGCGCCACCTCCTCCAGCCGCTGGCCCACCGTCATTTTTCCTTTCCCTCTCTCCGCGGTCCCGATTTTCAAGTCGAGGAGGGCTGTGTCGTTCGTCACGCGGACGTAGGTGGCAATGACGGTGAAGACGGAATGGGCGTTGAAGGCGTACTCATAGCCCAAAGGCTCGCCCGTCATCCCGTCCAAGCCAAACGAACGCTCAAAACCTTGCCCCTCTAAGGAGAGCATGGTCAGGATGTACCGGCGCATGGCGGCAGGGTCCAGCAAAGCCGTGAGCAAGACGCGCAGGGAGGTGTCCCAGTAAAATTGCGCCGTGGCCCCAATGTAGACGGGCGTGTGAAGCGTCTCGCGCGGCCTGGCTGGCTTGACGCATTCGACTTCAGCCGGAGCCAAGTGCCCGGGACGAGTCCAGCAGGTATTCCCGAAGCCGGTCACGAAAGAGGATAGGCCAGGGACCCCGTGGCTGAACGCGGAGAGGGAGGTGCGGCCAGTGGCGAGGAGGGACAGAGCGCTCATGTAGTAGAGGCGGCGAAGCGAGGAGTCCTGAGTGATGAGGGTGGGCAGATGGCCGCTAAAGGTACGGGGCGGGGACGGAGGCGGGGGCGGGGAGGAGGGAGGCGCAGGCGTGAAGGCCTCGTGCCAGATGGCGTCCCACCCGTCTCGGGCCCCGTGGAAGTGGGCGTCGAAATGCGCGGCGTAGCCCTCGAGGCGCAGGCCCATCTCTTCGAACGCTGTACCCGGCAAACCGGAAGCAGGTGGGCCCATCGCAGCCACGAGTCGCACCGTCACTGGCGTCCCAGGGGGCAAGCTCAGCTCCACCGTCCCTACGGCCGCCGAACGGTTCCGCTCCTGCTCGTCCGCGACCCATGCCCAAGCTCCAGGCTGTGGGTCGACGAAGACGAAACCGCCCACAGCTTCCGAGAGCGTGTCTGCGTGCATCACCATCGCCCGCTTCCCGCTCTCATTCGGGAAGACCATGGCAGTCTGGAAGTCAGCGGGGTCGGTTGGCAGGCCCTCGGAGAGGAGCCAGCCCATCTCATGCCGACGCCGGGCCATGGCCTGCACCGAGAACTCGATCGTATGACGCTCGTCGGCGGATTCTCTAGTGTTGCCATCAGCGTGGTCC